GGTCTGGGTAAATCGGGGTTGTTTGTTTTGTTAATAAATCGGGGCCGTTTGGGGATAAATCAGAGTGGGTTTTTTAAAATAAATTGGAGTGGTTTTTTTAATAAATCAGGCTGGGTTTGGGGATAAATTGGGGTGATTTTTGGGATAACTCAGGGTGGTTCTTGGGATAAATCAGGGTGGTTTGTGGCATAAATCGGTGATTTTTGGCATAAATCAGGATGGTTTTTGGGATAAATTGGGGTGGTTTTTTGAAATAAATCAGGATGGGTTTTGGGATAAATTGGGGTGGTTTTTTTTTTTAATAAATCAGGGTGGTTTTGGGGATAAATCAGGGTGGTTTTTTAACAAATGAGGGTGTTTTATCTGCCCTTTCCCCGTGTTTCTAATGGAGGTTGAGGCTCCTCTGGGCTCCAGAGCTGCTCTGACCCATGGCTGCTGTGATTAACCTGAATTTATTAATACAGTTTACAAAGAAGCTCTGTGGAATTCCAGACAGGTTTGGGCTGCCAGGGGCTCTGAAGGGCACCCAGTGCCACCCCTGGCATGGCAGGGACACCTCCAAGCCCCAGTGTCCAGCCTGGGACCCTGCCAGGTGCTCATACAGGCTCCCGAGAAAAGGAGGAACAGTTCTGTGCATGCTCTTACTGCCCCTCAGTGCTCTGACTCTGCTCTGTTTACTCCTGATTTAGCTCCACAATCTCAACAGTTTCCTTTTCTGAGCAGGAAGTTTTACAAAGTTTATGGCAATGGCCCCAAACCTTTCGACCTGACTCAGTTAAACTTCAAATCCACCTGCCAGAGGTGAGGTGATAATCAAACCAGAGATGTTCCTGAGGCTGCCCCTTCTCCCCTTCAGTCAGGGAGCCAGAGCATCTCCTAAGTGTAAAACAGCAACTTTGCTACCCAGGTTTGTTGAGAAATACAATGAACTGAAGGAAGAGGGGAAGATTGAAGAGGAGAAATTGTTTGAAGAAACAGGAAAAGCCCTTTTAGCCAGTGGGATCCTCTTACAGAGAAGAGGAGTGGACAAAGTGAGTAAGAAATATCCAGAGTTCCTTGGCTGGGGGATTGACAAAACTCCACTCCCAGGCCCTTAGTGCTGAGTGAATGAAACCCTCAGCACAGCAGGCACACACCTGATGGATTTAATGAAAACTTTCCTCCTGGTTGTGAACAGGTCTGGCCAAGGCTGAGGCACTTGGGGGCCAGAAAAGATGTTTTTCTGGGGATTAAATTGAATAACCCTTCAAATAATCCATGGTGCATATGCATAAAGCATTGGAGCTTTATGTATTTGCTGTTGTATCTTGAATTTTTCCAGGTTGTAGCTGGAGCTCAGCAGCCTCTCTGCAGTGTGGTGACATTTTTTTGTGCTGTGCCTCCTCAGCAATTTCAGCATGAATTAAACTCCTTTTGGGCACACAGAGGGCTGCTGCTCCCCTCAGTCACCCTTCAGAGGCTTTCCCCCCTGTTTGATGGGATCTTTGCTGTCCTTCCTGCAGGGTGCTGCACCCAGGGATGCTGCCTCACAGCCCCAGCTCCAGGCTGTGCTCGGGGAGCTGCAGGACAAGAGGAAGGACGGGCAGGAGCAGCCACCAGAGCTGGCAGGGACACAGAAGGAGAGTCCCTGTCCCTCCTGACAGCGCTGTCACCTGCCAGCAGCCACCTGCAGCCCTCCTTGGGGACATTTCCCTGAGGAACAGCATCCTGGTGCCCTCCAGGCTCGTCCGTGGCACACCTGCTCCCCTGTGTCCAGCTCCACATTGATAAACTCACAGATAATCTTATTTTGTTTAATGTTCACAACTGTTTTCTGATACCGAGTTGGAAAATACCGAGTGTAAAAGTGGAAAATTAAAACATTTCCTTTAAAATTGGAGTTCTGCCTGTTCAGGTGTCTGGTGTGCAGTAGTGAAGATGTTTCCTGCTGGGGGAATGCAGATCCTGTGTGATGTGTTCCAGCAGCTGTCTCAAGTGTCATCTTTTTATAGCTGATTGAGGAAAGCTGCTATTTATGGAAGTGCTGTAATGTGCTCTTCCCATCCCACCATTTCCTTAAATTCAGAGTGGGATGAAGGGTGGCACTACAGAAAACTGGGAGTTTGCAGTTTTTAGTGGCTCCTGATGGAATTGGCCACCTTGGCAGAGTGAACATGGGGTGTTGCAGCAGTTTGCTGAGGGAAAGGTGATGCTGCTTGGGGACATGTGGGGACAGAAATCACAGCCAGCCTTGCTGGGTTAGGAGGCAGTTCTGCCCATGCTGCACACCCAGTGGCTGCCTGATCTCTCATTGAACGTTTGGCTCAGGATCTGTGAAAAACAGTTTGTTTTGTGTCTTTTTCTTTGAGGTTTTTGTTGTTTTTCTTTCATTTGTGGTTCTTTAACATCCCAGACTGGCACCACCCCACTCCCAGCTGTGACTGCTGCCCAGCCCCTGCCTCCCTGCCCAGTTTGGTGCTGCTGCAGCTGGGTGGGAGGCAGGAGAGCTTGGGGGCAGTGAAAAGAAGGTGTGAAATGTCCCTGGTTTGGTTTCTGTGCCTCCCTTCCCTCCTGGCAGCAATGTGAGTGCAGAATTGCTCAGTTATCCTTGGGAGGTCAAACTTCACTCCCAGTTCTGCTCCTGTAGAAGAGCTAAACCCTCTCAGGGTTTGTTACAAAGAGCAAAAATCCCTGTGTTTTAGCAGCGATCCAATTCCAGATCCAGCAGTAACATCGAGTTTAGAGCCCTCCAAAGGCCTGGGGTGTGCCCTGAACGAGCTGCTGTGCAGAGCACCTCAGGAGAAAGTTGGAATGGGTTTATTTTCTGTTGAAAAAGCCAATCCCCTGGGGTTTGCCCTCGGGGGCAGCTGTGACCCGGGGGAGTGAAGTGAGGAGTTCTCCTCCCCATGAACACCTGGGGCGGTGATGGGCACCAGCTGCAGGTGGTTAATTACCCAGGTGGTTAATGACCACGGCCGCAGGTGAGGCCGTTTGGGGCTGATTGCCTCGCGCCCAGGAGCCAAAGCCCGGCAGGGAAGGGCAGGAGGTTGTGAGGGGCGGCCGGGTGTGGGTGCGCTCCGTGCTCTGCCCCGCTCCTGCTGCCCTGCCGAGAGCACCCCGGGTTCCAGAGACAGGTACGTGGCCTAAAAGTGCGGGAGAACGTGGAAACCTGTGCGGGAAATCTGTGCGGGACCCTGTGTTCCCGTGGGGGGAGAGCAGGACTCGTGCCACGGCGTGAGTGTGGGAATGCTCTGCTGGAAGCTGCCAGGGCAGAGCCTGGGCTGGGGCAGGGCAGGCTGTGGATGATGAGAAGTGGTTGGAACGTTCAGCGCCGTGGATTTGCTGTGTCTGGTGGTGCCGGGGATCCCACGGGGTCGGGGATGCGAGTTCTGGAGTATTTGGGGCAATTCGGATCAAAGCAGTTAAAGCAGCGAGTTTGCCCGGCCGGAGGGCGATGCTGATGCTCGGGACCCGCTCTAACTGCGGGGATTTAATCAAGAAGCTGTGGGCAGCAGCCGGGGGTGGTTTATCACTGTGGGGGCGCTTTCCC